AAAGCGTGAAGAGAAAAAATCGATGGAAAAACATTAACTTTTGCCAGGAGCCCATCACCCGGAGCCTCCATACGTACTATAACCTAGAGTCAACCCCTTCCCCTATCATTCTACTTTTAGAACTGTAATTAGCGCAAGGGTCTCTTTGTTTCCCACGCAATATCTTGTTTCTGTAAGTAAAAAAAGCAAAACAGCGGCCAAAGCGGATCCCAGTCATTGTTGTAACATAAAATGATGTCAGCTCCTCGGGTATCATTGGCTGTTAAAAAAAGGGTCGTGTGAAAACTACCACAAGAACATTACTGTTTGTAAAAAGAAAGATACGGGAAAGGGTTGACTCAGAGGGTTGGTATAGGAGATGGAGGCTCCGTGTAATGGGCTCCTGCTTTTGCGAATGCCCAAGAGAGGACGAAGGGTAGAAAATTAATCCCCTATTTAGGCTTATTCCAGAAGTAATCTCTCTTACATTTTTTTTCTAGAGTGATCTAAAAATAACTCGAGTGATACCTGAAGAATAAGGTCAATATTGGGGGTTGATTCTTTAACCTTTCATGCTCTTTTGCGATGTCTCATTGAACAATCCGCCATCTAGATTTTGAAGACAATATCTGGAATTTGTCCGTCAGCTGTTGTTGTTCCATTAAAACTGGCTTCATCCACATCAAACCTAAATCTGATGCCCTCCGTGATCACATCCCTCATCCCGTCAGTACCCCCCAGAGTGGATGGACCCTTGAGCAGGACCCGTATGATGTAGGGCCGATGACCCCTTACGATCACGGGCTCGTCAAACAGTATATCGTGTACTCGCTTGTTCACATCGGCAAAGAACGTTCCTTCGTAGGTACACATGACATCGTTATGGGAATCTAGAAGTTCCACGTCCACACTAAACGATCTTGTAGTGTCTTCCTTGTTGCTTATACCGTAAAGTCCCACCCCAAGCACAGTAATATCTCGATCAACTGTGAATTTAATGCTGTCGACGTTTGTTCCCTCACACATCCAATCCTGCCCGTAACTGGGAAACCTCGTGCAGCGGTACACTCTATGCGCACCCGGGCGGGGGTGGGTTAGAAAGCTGTTCACTTTGGAATCATCTTTAGAGCCGAAGTATAGAAATATATTTATCGTTTCCTCTGACGTGAGAATCCCTGACTGCGCAGCGTCCTCCGAAAACTCCTTCAGGGTCATAACAGGAAACCTTATGAAATTCAGCGCACTCGAAAGCACGCTACGTTTGTTCTCCGGTGTTGGTGGGAGAATTCTCCGATTGCATTCCGCTTCGGCCCAGCGCTTTATAGCTTTGAACAGCTCTGCCTCAAGCACCGTGAGGGTATCACGTGTAAGAACAGCAAGTAATGTCTCGTGGTCTATTTCTGTGAAGGCTTCGGAGGAGAGAACCCGAGAGGTTTCTCTGTCGATTATTTCCCAGCACTTTTCTTCCAGTTTTGGCTCGCAAAAGTAGCGCGCCTGAGCGAGCAACGTGAAAGCATTTTGATGGTCAATGTTCTCTTCGAGAAAATACACGCACTTCTCAGCCAAAAACGGGAGGATGTACTTCTTCGCCAAGTACAGAACACCAAAAACGTTCAACGGATCGATTTTTGCCTCGTCATAGTAAATGTACCTTAAGAGTTCAAGAAAACTATTCGCTTCGCAGTCTCCAATTTTTATCTCATTTTCTCGCTCGGCCATTTTGCCGTAGAACATCGCGTAGAACACGGGGCTGCTGATAGCCATCACGTATTTATGCGCCGGAATTCTCAATTTTTCCGACCTCCCAACGAGAAAATGAACATCGCTCATAAGNAACATCGCGTAGAACACGGGGCTGCTGATAGCCATCACGTATTTATGCGCCGGAATTCTCAATTTTTCCGACCTCCCAACGAGAAAATGAACATCGCTCATAAGCTCATTATTAAACATGTGTCGACTGCGTTCAGCGATGGTTCTTTTTTCGGTTTGCCAAGTTTCGCTCTCCTGGTTATCTCTATGAGTATACCCCGCCATCTTGCAGTCTAAGGCTGTTTACCTCGAGGCCAATTTGTTTTTGTCGAGATGCAATCCACCTGTTTATATTTGGAGAGCCACCAGTCTTTATCCGAACCCATTCAAGTGCCTTTCAGCCAATGAGAGTGAGTGGCATGGAAAACACGTGCAAACCAATCCGATGGAATTTAAATCTTTAATGAAAACAAGTAATAGATACCTTAGCAGGTTGCCAAATTCAGGTCAGTTGAGGGGGTAGAAAAAACTGTCAGATTGAGGAAAACGTATGGACGGGGTCTTGAAGCAACAAATGCAATGTCGAAACAGCATGGAAATCTCGTGTGAATAGCGTTGCTCTTAAAACAGCTATCGTTTTTTTGTAGCAACCATCATCCTTTGCCAAAGCGTTTTAAAGTCGATTACAGAGTTCTAATCTATGATTAAAATTCTTAAAAGTGATCGAGGTTTCAATTTCACTGTACTACGAGGTCTTCAATAGCTTGTGTTCATAGACCAGAAGCACATAATAATACTAAAGGTGACTCAAATATCAACAGTCTCTCACCCAAANACCTGCACATTTGTTTCATTATAAATTTGAACATTCGATATTTTAACCTGTGATCAGATTCAGTTAAAGGGAACAAAAATCTCACGTATTTTACCCAGGAAATGTTGGCAATTATATGAAAAGGGTACAATTCTTTAAACAAGAGTAAGAATAATGATTTGTTTTCATAAATTCCCATTTGTCTCTTGCTTTCAGATTGTGGCCATTCTGACCTCACTGCTTCACTGGAGAACACCATAATCAAAAGTCCAGACTATCCATCGGATTATGGAGATAACTTGAACTGTTCATGGACAATAAAAGTGTCATTTTTGAGCTATATAGTGAAGGTGTTATTCAATGACTTCTTGTTGGAAGAGGGGTACCCATGTGATGATGTGCTTACGTTTTATGATGGTATGAATGAGACGTCAAGCCTTCTTGGATCATATTGTGGTACAATCCATCCAGAAGTTATTTATTCCACTGGCCAATACCTGTATATCAAATTTGGCACAGACAACATGGTTAATTACAAAGGGTTCAGCTTAAGTTTGACAGCTGTTAAAAAAGGTACAGTTTTGCAATGTTTTATTCATTGTAATGTGTACAGAGAGCTAGTAAGCGTATCTATCGTCATAGAACTGCTTAGCGCGCAGAGAACTAGATATTCTAACTCTCTGCACGTATTGCAGGCCTTATATGCTAAATACTCTTCCTGTCTGCACGCTCTGCAGGCCTATGATGCTATAAACTCTCGCTTTTTGCACGCTTTGCAGGCCTGTGACACTAGCCAATCTAGCCCTGTGTACACATTGCAGGCCTATGATGACAGCTACTCTGACTAGCTCTCTTCGTGCATTGTGGGCCCATAATGCTAAATACTTTAGCTCTCTACACGATTTAGCTAGGTATAGATGGGAATGCGTGGAGAGAACTAAAATATCTAACTTCATGGACTCGCATTGTATGCAGAGAGTATACTGCATGTGTACTATGTACGGATGCCGACACGGGGTAATATTGTAGAAATGATGACATTTTTGTTCTAAGTAATCAGGGTATTTAGTTCAGCAAAGGGCTACAACGAAAATGAGTCCATGATGGGAGTTACACCAGTTGAATGATAGAACATCAGGTACTCAGATCTCTTACTTTGTTCTTTGGTGCTCATGACAAATTAAACAAAATATAGGTTAATTACAGCATATGTTAGAACACAGTATTGATCATCACTCTGTTCGATATCAAGGTGGTTATGTTACTTTCATTCCTTGCAGAGGAAGCATTTGGAATATGTCGTCTGTCACGATCAAATGGGGGTGACGAGATCAATAGGCTCGGTGGCTTTTCTGGAACATTCTTCACCCCTGACTACCCTGTTCCTTACCCAAATGACGCCAGGTGCAATTGGATCATCTCTGTACCTTCTGGCAAAAGAGTGAAGCTGAAATTTGAAGACTTTGATTTTGACCCAGTTTCTTCCAGTTGCAAAAAACGCACCAACGAGAAAGACTATGTGCAGATTGGCAGTGGCCAGGTCCCAGGAAAAAACGCGCTTGCTCTTTACTGTGGATACGCCGCGGCCAGTGCTTTGGACTTTTATTCCACTGGGAGGCACATGTGGGTGAAGTTTTATTCCATCTCGTCAAATCGTTCTGAAAGCTCAAAAGGTTTTAAAGCTCATTTTGAAGCTGTGGATCTTTGTAAGTATTGTTTTTCTTCATATTCAATCAATCAATCAATCAATCAATCAATCAATCAATCAATCAATCAATCAGTCAATCAATCAATTTATTAAAGTCACTGCGTGGGATTGAGGTTGCCCTCAGTATCCGAGTCAGGGGCTCATGTATAAAACGCATGACTAAAACAAAAGAGATAACATTAAATAAGTAATAACAAAGTAATAAAAAAGATACATACATGGAATTGTTAACAATTATCAAGCCATCCAACCACCCAACAAACTTGATAATAATTATTTACTTATAAATATAAAGACATCTAACCTAAAATTGTGACAAAAATATAGAAACTTACAATGTTCAATTTATGTGAAACGGTATACCAAATATCACAAACAAGTTGTTTGAATTTGGCCTAAATACCCTCTTCTTTGGTGTGATTGTTGTCACAGGCAAAACTTCCTAAGACACTTACAAGTTTCAACAATTGTATTTTGAGTATTTATCATGAATGCTACGAAATAGCGTTCCCATTTTCCCATACAATGTTGACAAATAAGCGGCACTGCGAGGTGAATTTCTTCTTGCTAGAGAAATAACTTTTTTTCTGAACATTATGAGTGGGTAAAACAAAGTAAGTCTCCCAGGAATTGTGTCCAAGAGTGTAGATATTACTACTCAAATATCATGCTACATTTCCTGTACTATTTTCTGTAGAAGAAATCGGAGTACTTATGAGAACTTTAGTAATTGATGGGCTTAACTTGCCAGGAACTAATCTGGTGAATTTGTAACATTTTTATTTCTCCATAGCTCCCTCTTCCAAGGAGATGTGTTTTCCAGGTAACGTCTACAATAACAAGCTGACTTTAAGTGGCTCTTTTGGATCTCTACGAAGTCCACAGGATTACAACTGGTACCGCTCAGGTTTGAGTTGTGATTGGCTCATCACTGTGCCAGAAGGGAAGATTGTGAAACTCAAATTCGATAAACTTGATTTGAAGCCAAGCTCTGGATCCCAGTGCACAGCAGATTATGTGGAGGTTCTAGATGGCAAGCCCAATACTGGTGAGAGTAAAGGAAAATTTTGTGGTGATGGGAAACCGGAGGACATTCGCTCCAGTGATCGCTACATGTGGGTGCGTTTTAGAACAGATCCCCAGAATTCAGATTACGAGGGATTTAAGGCCACTTACACAGCAGCGGATAAATCCAGTAAGTTGAAAACTTTCGAGTTAATCATTGTATGAAATGTTTCTACAGTTATTTAGTAGTCTTTTCATTAACAAGGCCCTTTTGACGCGACACCTTCAATCCGGTCTATTCATTAATTGGCCAGGTATAATTGAATTAAAATGGTGTTCATTGCACTCCAGGGAACATGAACGTCGACATTAAACTCGCCTGTTCTCTTTTCACGACTGAATGCAATGCAAACAGCTTTATTAACACTGGATTGAACAAAAAACCCCTGGTTTGTTTAATCAGCCAGTCATTCGTACGGCCGTAAACCTTTTAGAGGATTTCCCCCTTAATGTTGGTTGACCATGGTGTAGTAGAAAGGCAGGGTTTTGCCCATGAGAGTAAAAGAAGGGGGGAGGCTTAGGAGTGGGATGTGTCGGGAGAGGGGACGGTAGATTAAAGGCTGGTGAAGGGAAGAAGACTAGTAATTTGTAAAATGTATTTTCGCTTGGCAAAAAGTCAACTCTTGCCAAGAAGGGATGGCCTTGTGTATCCTAAAACAAAATACACCTGGACACCTAGGTATGTAAAGAGGCCTTCCAAGGGGGTAGCCGTGTCGCCATGCCATGCCCTTTCATGTACCGATGCCGCCTAACCAGCAGAAGCAAATGTCGCTGTCGTTTTTCTGCATGAAGTCATATGTCGCTGTCGCTACAACGTTGATTTTTTTTAGAGCTTATTCATTGGAAAAACACACAAGTTCAGCCGTCATTTACAGATTTTACAGTAGAATACAATTTCTAAGTAAAAAAAAAAGGGGGCCACGTTTCCGTCAAAAATGGTATATAAATTGCTAAAGGGTTGCGCCTCCCGACTTGGGGTGAAGCTTCACCATATAAAACGCTTTTGGTACCCCCTCCTCCGTCCCACCGATGAGCTTAGAGTATCTACGTATGAGGCAAGTTTCATGCTCACCTAGTTGTTTGTTATGATTGTTTTCAGGATCTTGGACTGTGATCGTTACTGCCATTGTTGCCGTTGTGGTATGTTTTATTGCACTTGCTCTCTGTGTCGTGGTGATCATAAAGCGAACGAAGACGCCCAGCAGAGCACTGTCGACCACCACAGCTTTGGCTTCTCGTACCACACAACTAGGAGTGATACAACACCCCCCTCCCCATCCTACTCAACAAGCAGCAGCAAATCCCTACCCATCACTCCCGGCCCCACCATACACATTACCATCAGAACCACCACCACCCTACCCTGGAGAGGAAACAGCTCCGCCGTACTCACCTCCAGGGCAATCACGGCTACGTACATAGAGCACTACTAATGAACTTGTGAGGTTTGTAAACTGCATGTAGCATGTTTTCGGTCTAATGATGTATGAACATTCGAAATTCTGCCAGATTATACAGGGGTTCTTTGGGAAACCTTCGTATGCTGTAGAGAATTTCATGTGAGGGCGTGTAAATTACCACGACGTTTACCTGAAACATGCACCAAATCGAGGAACATTTATCAACTCGGATATAAGTTTATAATAAACTTTAATTTTAGTTTTATTGTAAGCATATTTTATTCTCGATGTTGTGAATGTATTTTCTAAATTTACTTACCTATTATTGCATGGTAAGGCAGTCTTGAGATAAATCCGGCATTTTGATTGGTTCTTTGGTGGTCGGGATTTTGCCAGACGGACCATTTCCATGGAAACGACCATAAAGCCGTGTATTTTCTGTTTTCGAAAGCCAACAAATTCGAAGCAAGCATTGCCCGATTGCCATATAATAAACTACTTACTAAGCTAGTTTGCTGGAGCCGTACTGGAGAATATAGGTTGAGTTGCTTTTGTACGGACCTGGCCGGGCTCGGTGTGTATTACCGCGACCTAGAGCCAATATTTCCCAGAAGGGTCCTCGCGCTCGGTTAGTTAGAGGTTACTGCATGTTAACTCAATACTTAAGTCGTGAAACTGGTACGGGCTATCAAGGTCTATTTGGCTTCTAGTGGCGGAAATCAAGCATATATGTATTATACGACTACAAATACATGTACAGATAAATTATAGAAGGATGAAATCATTTCTTTTTAATATAAAAGCAATCGAGTATTTTAAAAGTAATTTATTAATATATTTTGTTTCATTCGCCGTGATTTCAATTATAAGCGACCTTTCAATTATTTTCAATCATAAACTTCATTTCTTCAATATATGCGTAGTTAATTTGGGTTTGCTAAGTATAGAGTCGAAGTGTAATGGTGCCGTGAAACCTCATCTGAAGCAAATCTCACACCAAAGGTTCTTAGTTATCAGACTGACGTTATCACTTGCATGGTTTTGCCCCCCCGGAGGGGGATACCCTTATAAAAAGGTCGGGGATGCTCGTTGTCTCCTTTGGGGGTATAAATCAACGATTCTGGCCTCACTTGGGGTGTTCATGACAACACAAAACTATTTTTATCTGTCAAAGTATCTTTCAGGGTGCACCGGGAAAAAAAAAATGATAGAAACCGCTCTTATTTCTGTTTTAGGCTCGATTTCCGCCGGTCTCTGGAGTCTAGTCTACTAGCGCGGGATCCTTTTTGGAACGGTGGCCTGTAATCAAGCCTATATATTCCGTTGTGGTATCTTTTAGGGGTCAAATAATACTCGAATCACGCCCAGATCGGTCTCCTATAGGGGTTTGAGCATCAAGCATCCCCGACCTTTTCATTTGGGANCCCCCCCCCCGCCAGCCCCCAAGACATGTTACATGCTACCTCTGTAAATCTGAAGCGTGTTTGAATACTTCTTTTTAAAGGGTGCGAAATAGAAATAAATGCTGTATCATTTTTTGACAACTATTTTATTTCAGTAACTCCCCTTTCTTGTCAGGATACAAGCGTTTAGGCGTTTTTAGTGATGTTGCTAACGGGAGCACTAAACAAAGCTGGATGAAAATGGTTTGATAGTTCAGTCTTGAGAAATCGTAGAGTCATTGAGTGTACGAGTCGAAATTTAACTGTTAAACAGTTTCTGCTGTAAAGTCAATGATAATCCCGCTATCTCGAAAAGGGAAACGAAAAATATAGGTTCGAGATGTCGGGGGTTTGAAAAAGCCAAAAGAAACTGACTGACAAAGTATCACCGAGGGTACACGAGTGGGTGGGATNCTATCGTTTTTTTGTAGCAACCATCATCCTTTGCCAAAGCGTTTTAAAGTCGATTACAGAGCTCTAATCTATGATTAAAATTCTTAAAAGTGATCGAGGTTTCAATTTCACTGTACTACGAGGTCTTCAATAGCTTGTGTTCATAGACCAGAAGCACATAATAATACTAAAGGTGACTCAAATATCAACAGTCTCTCACCCAAACGTAACGCTAGTTCTGTACTAGTAGAGTTCTAATACAGCTGCTGCAATCTGAATGGCCGAGCTATCTTACACTATGGCTTTTGCCACGTTATTCCTCGATAATGGGTGAATCAATTGAAAAGCAAAGGTGAAATAATAATGAACCCTCTAAACACCAATGGCAACACATTAGCACTGAATAAACTGTCTTACAACTCTGCTAGTCAGGTGTTCGTTGAACTAAAATTCGAGACACCTACAGCTGAGAGGAGAATGAAACAAGCAAACTTTGATGCACAACCAATACAAACTACCCACAGAATTCTGTTCAAAGTCACTATGAACATTAGACACTACATTTTGGCCCCCCAACGTCACCCTTTTCAGGGACTCATTCGCTCAACAACAGAATTGTCACCTTTGTTTTCGTGAAACACAAACCTTAAAATATTTTTTTTAAAATCTGTCCCTTCGTGCAAACTTTTTGGAATCAATTTGCCCTTTGGTGGAACAGAAAAAATCCAAATCTAATCATCCTATCCGAAGAAGAAATAATTTGTGGGTTCACCGTCATCTTGGCTTGAACCTCTGAGTAATTAATTATTGCTAAATCTGCATCGAGAAGAGAAGGGTATATTTGGGAAGCCATCTTAGTGTCGTTGAAATATCGTCTCGAAAACGAAAGACATAAATCTAGATTGCAAATACGTTTTTGAGCTTCTACTTTTTTCGCTATTACTTCGTTTGGTTAATTCTTGCCGGGTTCTAGTATCGCTAGTTGGTATTATATTCTGTCTTTATTAATTGCGTCGTTAGCTTAGTTGCTGGTTTAGTTAGTTGCTTCGTATTGTCGCTGGTTAGCAATACAGCAGGTGTTTCATGAGGGGCCTGGCACTGGGCAAACTTACCGGCTGTGAGGTGATTTTGCCCGCCTGTTTGACCATCTAGAGGAAAGGTTTTCTTAAGTTCACTTTAAAAAGGTTTGCCCTCCTGCATGCTGAAAACATTAATAATGAATCCCCTGTTAGTTGCTTCGTATTCTATTGTATTGTATGTACTGTAATCTTGTTTTGTAAGTAGTCTCACAGATATTTTATTTTAACTTTCTTTCGTTAGTAGGTTCTGTTTTGTAAACCTCGTTTTGTAAGTACTGCTTTTCGTGTGCAATCATAATAAAAATGCTTTCTGTAAAAAAAAAAAATAAATACAAAAAACTATCGTCTTTAACGTTATTGCGTATAACGATTTCTTAAAGCATCAACAAGCGAATATTAACGTTAAAAGCCGACGTTTCGGCGTCATCGTGACACCATTCTCAAGGCAAAGTGAACAAATAATGCGATAAGGTATTCACTTGAAGAATTTGTGATCCTTTTGTTATTATGTTAATTTGTAGAGACTATAGAAATCAAATCATCGATATCGCATTATTTGTTCACTTTGCCTTGAGAATGGTGTCACGATGACGCCGAAACGTCGGCTTTTAACGTCAATATTCGCTTGTTATTGCGTATGTAAGAGAAATTTGTAAATCTCTCATGTTCAAGTTTTGCACGCATGTGAATGTCTTTTGACGCCAAAAATGTTATACAATGAAAGATTGTGCGGAATTTTATTGTCGTTCGCAAATCGTTGAAAAATTCTCTCTAAAATTGTCGCTGTGCATTGCTAACCTCGAAAGGTTGATACAGACCCGTTTCATGTTTTTTGTTCTTCTCCGAGTCTCTTTGTTCAACCAGCTGATTCAGCTGCTGCATGCTTAATTTACAAATCTCTTAGCTAGAGGCCCGGCAAAAAACTTGAGCTCGAAATTTGGTAGAATTATCTTCCTCATCGCTGGAAGAATTATTAGATTTTTTCATATTTTAGGGAAAAAAAATAGGAATTATGTTTTGAAAAGTGGCAACCGTCCGCTGACATCGATGAAAAAATTGCCGTGAAAAAGTACAAATAAACAAACTGGCGTCAGCGTAAATGGATCGTGCGTATTAGCCAGTCAGAACGCGCGCTTCACTAAGGCTTTGTTATAAATCTATATATTATGCATGACCCACAAACAGTTGTAATTGTCATTTATAAGTTTTCACTACAAATACTTCACGGCCAGAGCTTTTGTTTTGCAGTTAGAGCTTCGAGAGTTTGCGATGAATCGGATGAAGAAACATTTTTTGTGGCTGTTATTCTTCACCGCCGTTGTGCTTGTTTGGTTCATTTACAATGAATCAATGTACCAAAATAATTTTGAAATCACTGTTCTGAGACAGACAACATTGCCACGAAACGAGCCTCAAATGGTATTGATTTACACCAGTTTTAATGGTCGTTTGCCGTGGCCAGGGCTGAAAAATTCTCAAGACTTCACTCAATTTAAAGGCCAGAAATGCCGGGAAACCAACTGCAAGCTAAGTTATGACAAGCGAGACTTCACGAATAGCAAGGTCGTGATTTTTCATTCGTATAACATGCCTTCTCGAAAAGAAATGTTTGATCTCCAACAAAGAAGACCGCAAGATCAAATCTGGGTTTATTTCACGCTCGAAAACCCAATCGTGACGTCATACATCGCCCCTCACAAGAATCGTCGTGATCTGGACAACGTTTTCAATTGGACAATGAATTATATGCGAGATTCGGACATCTACCATCCATATGGCTTTTACTTGCCTTTAAACCACAGTGAATTTACCCCGCTGAGCAGCAGTATAAATCATGCGAAAGGCAAGAGTAAGCTTGCAGTATGGACTTGTAGTGGTCACGGACAAATTGTCAATGAAAGAAAACTTCGAGTTCTGTATGTACGTCAACTTAGGAAACACATACCAATAGATGTATACGGCAAGAGTGCAATATATTTTCATCAACCAAGTTTGAAGGAGACGTGCATTAAAGATAAAGCTTATGCAACTCCAGACTGCAGATCTCTTTTGCAAAACTACAAATTTTTTCTAGCTTTCGAAAACATGAACTGCGAAGACTATATCACTGAGAAATACTGGTGCACCCCCCTTGAACTTGGTTTAGTTCCTGTAGTTATGGGGGGAGCAGACTATAAAGCTCTCGCTATACCAGGTTCCTATATAAACGTGATGGATTTTCCGTCTATTAAAAAGCTGGTAGAGTATTTGTTGTTTCTTGATCAAAATGATAACGAATATAATCGATATTTTGAATGGAAGAAGTATTACAAAGTTGGCGGTTGTTTAAGACCTAAGCTGAACATGTCAAATAATTATCCTTGGATGTGCGAAGTTTGCGCCGCTGCAGATAACCATTCGCTTGCAAAGAAAACCTACAGGAAGATACAAGACTTTTATAATCCTGACAAACGATGCGCCATACAATATTCAAGGCTTAACGAAATCATCTCAGAAGCTGCGGAAATCTCACTTAAAGAGACACTGGACCGGCAGACACCCAGACCATCTAAAAAGACAGACGCCCTGGACACTAACATGCTCGCACGTGGACAAACAGACACTGGTGAAAAGAAGGGTAACAAGAAAAATCAATAAGTAAATGGTTTTTGGTAGCGAGATTAGCAGGATCTGTAAATAGTTGGACCCCTTGTTATGATCAGCTGCCATCCTTCCACCTGACGGTTACGATGTAACCTCAACTTTCCGCCTACCTGTGTTTATTTCATCAATGTGTGTGTGCGCGGCAAACTCACGTACCAAGAGTTTCTTTATTCTATGGACAGTGGTACTCGGGGGGTGGGGAGACTCCCATGCATATGAAAAGGTCGTCGTCTCGCTTTGGGTTGTAAATCTAGGATTTTGGTCTCACCTAGGATGTTCAAGACAAAACGTCACTATTTTTAGCTGTCAATATCTTTTATGGTACACTGTAAGAGATAACAATTAAGAAAACACTCTCATTTCCGTGTTTAGGCTCGAATTCCTCCGATCTCTCGAGACCGGACCACTAGCATCCCCGACCTTTTCATATGGGAGACCCCGCTGGACTGGGGAACAAGACTTGTTTTGCCTGATGGGGTCACTTCTAATGTTACCCGGTTGTAATGTCCACCAGAAGCTCGTGAAAATTCCGATAACGAACCCTGAAAATACCATGCCTAAAGGCATAACTCCAACACAGGCACATACCAATAACGATTTAGTTTCCTGTAGTCTGCGTGGCCGGCGCGATTTCGTGCGCGTGTGATTTGTTTCCCGAAAGCAGAGTCTCAAACGAAAGAGGCAAAGTCGAGAGGAGAATGCTGAGTAGTCAAGTTTCCTCACGGCTCTCTGTTTTGTTTCCGAAAGTCCTCGAGCGCGAAATCCCACCGGCTACACTACGCTACGCCTGTCATCGCTCGCAACGCATAGACATATCGAGAGAAAAATAGGATGAGAAAGAAACTATTTTGTAGCCTATAGAGTAAGTAGAACTAAATTACACAAAATTGCGCTGCTAATATGGACATTCTCGTCTTCAAAGCCGCCCGTCTCTCTTAGCCGGCGGGACGGGTGGGAGCTTCTCGGCAATTCGTTGCCTTGCTCCGTCCTCGCGCGCCAACCGCGTACCATAGAGATTTTGAGAAAATAATATGACGAGAGAAAAACTGTTTTGCAGCCTGTATACCCATTTCATTAATCACTGCCACCTATAGATTCTCTTGTAAGTATTAAACTAGCCTTACAAACGTCGTTTTTCAGTTGATAATTCAAAGGAATTCTTACTCTCAAACGAGGTTAGTGAGGCTAATTTAAATGCATGCAAAATAATTTTAAACTGATAGCCATTTATGAAAAGGGTCTATAGTGTAAGTGAAACAAAATTCAAATTGCACTTCTAATATGGACATTTTCGCCCTAACAGCTGCTCGTCTCTCTTTAAGAGAGCCGGCGGGACCTTGACGGGACAGCTGACTCTTACGGATTGTTATTAGGAGTGCACGCTGAAGACAATAAATAGAAAATACCAAAACAATTTTGGGTAATTGAGAAGGCTGACACTGTATTTGCTAAAGGTTTGGCTTGTTTTAAGTCAGATGTCTAGTTTAAACACCAACTGATGGTTATCTAATCTGCAGCTGATCTTCATAATCACTGCATCACTGCATTTCTTTCCCGTATTTAAGTCCCGCAGCATTTTAACATCGTTACGTAAATTTACGATTTTAGAAAATTCTTGATCGAGATAAAATTACAATGGGATTATAAAAGTGTTAGAGAGAAAGCTAATGATACGGCTGATGACTATAAAAAACACTAAGTAATTTTTTCAGCTATTTTAATTTTTCTTCTATCAAACGGTTAAAGAGAAAGCCAAAAATAACTGAATTGTTCTTCGATTTTACCTTAGGCCATCTCTGTAAGATGTTTCGTTTCTTGCCCGACCGACCCAATTTAGACCTTGTTATCTGCTATCCTCTCTTGGGTGTTCCAAGTTTAAAAGGCTTTGTGTACATCTTCAAGAAGCTCTGGCAAGTACACCTTTTAGAGTGAAAGTAGCTTGTGCCAAACTGCATGGCTGTCATGGGGAAAGTTCCCTTACAGTCATATATTTTACGGTATCTTCTGATTAGCCGGCGAGCAGGGTTTGTTAAGGTACCTCTTTTCTCGGTTTTTCACTTTCACAACCAACCCAGTTTCACGAAAGAGAGCGCAACGAGATACAAAGCATTTTATGGGAATGATTTTATCTGTAATCTAGCCATTTGGTTATGGCTTGTTCTAACAAACTAATTTTGTCATATTTGGTCACATTATTAAAACAAAATATGCTGTTAAAATGTGCCCTCTGTGAACTACGTTAATTTAAAGAACAGTTTACGCTGAACAACTAGCAATTCAAAATTTCGCATGGCCGTATAAACCTAGGATGACGTATAGCAAGTCTGACGTTAAATTCGGCAAAATGAATACGCATAAACCCGTTCGTTGACAGATGAGAGACTATGGAGCATACAACATTATCAGGACGCCCCCACACCAGCGATGCAAACGTCGATCAATCAATAATTTCGCATTTTATGTGTAAATAAGAGTCATCTAGAACAGCCCTCTAACAGAATAATTTATGTCAAAATATCTCTCCATCCCAAAAACAAACAACAACAAAAATCCGCGTCACTGTTTTCACCTAATTTGGTGATTCTTATAACTTGTTTTTAGCGGAGGAAGGCTAAAAGATGCACCTAAATGTAAAACCCACGTGCAAAGTCGTTGTTCTGCTTATTGAATCTTTTGTTTGCCATACGTTTTAATTGCCTTCGTGATTTGTGAAAGCTCTCTTGGCGGTACATCGAATTTTTACTTAGTGTAATTTGTTTTTAATTAAAGGAAAATTCGCGAGAGGCTTCAGTTTCAGGTGTATACTTACCTTTCGATTCGCTGAGTCAGTTGAGAGATGCCATCGACGCCATCTTGAACAATGCGAATGAGAGATTACAAAGTTTGATGGACGGTTGCACAGTTCGCTGTCGTTTCATTATATGCAGTGGTAAACAGGAACACTAAAAAATCACAGCAACAAAATCTTTGCTTCCGTTGTACTACCACTGCATTTCTTTTTCTTATTTTTCACACGCATTTTGAAAAAAAAAAATACTGCACGTGAATTGAAGCATATGGCTTTCCGAAAAGAAGAAAGGAAAAAGAATCAGTTGGACTTCTTTATTAAAAAAATTGGCAAACAATCTAGTTTCCTACTATTGTATTATAACGCTGGGAAGCCTGTGTTGTTAAGAATATTTTTTCATGATAATTGCGGCGCGTCACGAAACCGCGAGACTTCCTAAAAGTTTTTTCCAACATTACTTTTCCGAGAAGTTGATTTAGTCGAGCTCGCACAACTTCGTCACTCAAAGGTCGCAATGGCTCACTTTCGAGAACGACGCGCGCTTGTCTGCAAGTCCTCTTTATCGCTAAATTGCTAAAAATGCGAATCCGATTAGCACTGAATATCGAAATTGAACCGGGGCGTCTAAGGTCCAACAAATTTTTAACCATTTCTTGCAATTGGATGATGGCGATCACTGTTTGTTGCCATGGCTGTCACATTGCCCAAAGCATCAAAGTTGGTTTTCATTTTAAATGCAAACACCACAACCACAATATTCTTCCTTATATGGATTTGTTAAATACGAGTGCCAGTCGTTTGTCAGTGGAGAAAATAAATACAACTAAAAAAGGCAAGCATTGTAGAACGCACCGAGATTATATAGCTTATGCAAGGCTCTTGAATAAGATTTAAGAAACTGAAACATAAAACAGATGCGAAATATATTTAATTATAGCTGATCAGTAAACACAAACCCCAAAGCTTTGATCTCAGCTACCACGAATCTAAATAAACCACATTCTATTTGCATAATTTTATTTCCAATATTGAAACGTCTGAGTTGCTTTAATTCTTTATTTCTTTCAGTCTTTTCAAGGATGTGCAGTACATTGTTCAATTGTAAAAGTTAATTTTTTTTTCTCCCCCCAAAAAAAGAGAAAAAAGAAAGAAAGAAAGAATTAATTCGCGTATTGTTTTCGCACGTTCGACCCCATACAAGTGTGCTTTCCAAATGAATAATTTACTGTTTTCAACTTTGAAAATGAGAACGATTTTTGCGGTTCTGTTGGTGAAAAATATGTCGAGCTTTGCAAATGATCGAAATGTTTGTTGCGATATTCGGATGCAAAAACTTGTGAATTTCGAAAAAACGACATGAAAAACACAAAAGTGAAATGATAACTGCTACTTGCTAATTTGCAAATGTTGGCCTTCCGTTTAGACAATGCCTTTAATTTCAAGCGTGACAGATCTTTAGCGAAATGTCGTTAGAAGCGCCATCCCCTCAAGTTTCGCTTCAAAACTCGTTAAGTTCCAACACTTTAAAAAGCTCCAACGTCGCTTACGATTTCAGAAAATCCTCAATTCGAAAATTCCTTGAAATTTATTCTACAAAATTGAGATACTACACTATACTCTAAAAATCTCTATCAAAACGTCTGCAACGACGGTGGGTTTACTTCCGAGAATTACAACCGGCCGCTGAATTCCCCATTTTCTTTCTCCAGCCCGCCTCGATGTCCTTCTTTACGCTGTCTGTGAATGTATCTTTGAACGCGTTCTGTTGAGACGCTTTCTCCAGATATTCCACGACGAATTGGAAATTTTTTAATTCCAATCCTTTCAGTTCGCCGGCCACCTTGACATGCATTAGTTTAGGCAATAAATTGCAATCTGGTAGCTTCAACTCGTCTCCGTCCAGATATTTGCCGGGACTTTCCACGGAATCTAAAAACTCGTTCAATTTTGTGAGTTCCTTGTTGAGCGCGTCTCGGAGTTTCTCGTCTTTCTCAGGGTTGTTGTTTCGCATAAACAACGCGAACTTTGAATACAGATCGCGGCCAGCGTTGTTTGCTTTCTCGTTTTTACTCTTGAGGCTTGGCTCAAAGGTTTCGTCTAAGTACATCTCGATCCTGTCCGAATCTTCCATCGGCTCTAAATCTCCGTGTAGCAGAACAGGCAGTTTTAATCGGCCCTGCGACATTCCTACAAACTCTTCCCATTTCTTCGTGTCCTTTTTATTTGGATCGACGAAGTATTCCTTGAAAGGAGGAACAACCTTCTTCAGTCGCAAAATCATGAGAATTCGCTGACTGGTGGGACAGTCTCCCAGTTCCTTGTGAACTTTACGGCTATCGTTCGAACCCTACATACACAAAACAACATTTTAGGAACAGAACGCTGCTTTCTCTAGGCAAAATAAAACTCCGCATGTTTAAAAAGCCTGAATACGAAGACTCAACAAGTTAATTACGTACCTTAACACAGATCGTAAGGGCCATTACTGTGTTAATCCAGCCCTTCAGCGGAATAAATTCGAAATGTGTAGAACCGAAGCTTTATTCGTGCTCCAAAATCAACTTGTCCCACCCCGAAAATAAACAAAACAAAACATATGCCCCAGGTCTTCGCGGAATTTTAAAACGAAGCGTCGCCGTCACTGCACCTGTCACTTTTCTTGATAGCATCAGTTTAATTTGAATTATGCGGCGAAAAAAGAAGACTGCAAATTCGTATCATTAATTCATTCACGTTTTATTATCAGCATATCAAACATAGAAATTATTGAACAAGTAATTTAGTCTACTCTAGCTACGTCTACGTGGAAAGCACCTTTGGTTTGACCGTCATTGACAAAAAGTTTTTACGTCCACGCCTGATCGATGCTTATCCAGTTTTTACATAATTTGAAAAGATTTGCTTAAATTTCCCCACCATTAGTTTTGTATATTAACATGAAAAGAATTGCATTCATCACGGGTTCAGCGCTTAATTTCTCTATAATTTCACAGAGAAACTCCGTGAAAATATGTTGATTAGTTGCATTAGACATTTTTAACAATTATTCGCCTCAGGCTCAGTGAATATTTACCTCGACTTAGCTTCGGTAAAGATCCACCAATGTTCACTTCGCCTTCGGCGAATAATAGGGAGCTTAAGCAAACCATGACGACGACGGCAACGAGAACGTCCCCAAACACTGAAAAGGTTTAATGAGCAGAACAATGGCTGTGCACGTACGTTATAAATCTTGGTACATTTAATAGCCGTCCTCTGCAAAACAACAACGTGAAATGACCAAGTTCTGCGTAGCCTGAGGAACGCTTTCGTATTTCCATTTGGAATTGAAAGCTTTCACTGCATATTTAGCCTGAGCTCGATTTTACAACTATTGGCGTGCTGAACAGATCTAGACAATTGCGAATTTCGCTGGTAAAGTATAAATTCATTCTTGACTAGGCGTCATCCTCGTCCTCGTCGTCGCTTAAACTCCCTTATAGTTAACTATTACAATAACCATTCGCGTTCAAGGAAAAGTGACAAAAGAAGTACACTTCTGACTTCATTTCGGACTACTGGGGCTTTTTGCCAGCAGAGTTTCTCTTTTTCATGATTGTCCAAGCCTTAAAGACCGACTTACGGCACTTTTCGTAAAGCAGGTGAACGGTTTCTTTATGATCGCTGACGATCGCTTCATCACATTTTCGAAGACTTAATAGATCGAGAAGAACATTCTTGGGAAGATATACGATGCATCTGATCACATTTTAATTTGGAACTTTGTCCAGNTGCAGCCTGTATACCCATTTCATTAATCACTGCCACCTATAGATTCTCTTGTAAGTATTAAACTAGCCTTACAAACGTCGTTTTTCAGTTGATAATTCAAAGGAATTCTTACTCTCAAACGAGGTTAGTGAGGCTAATTTAAATGCATGCAAAATAATTTTAAACTGATAGCCATTTATGAAAAGGGTCTATAGTGTAAGTGAAACAAAATTCAAATTGCACTTCTAATATGGACATTTTCGCCCTAACAGCTGCTCGTCTCTCTTTAAGAGAGCCGGCGGGACCTTGACGGGACAGCTGACTCTTACGGATTGTTATTAGGAGTGCACGCTGAAGACAATAAATAGAAAATACCAAAACAATTTTGGGTAATTGAGAAGGCTGACACTGTATTTGCTAAAGGTTTGGCTTGTTTTAAGTCAGATGTCTAGTTTAAACACCAACTGATGGTTATCTAATCTGCAGCTGATCTTCATAATCACTGCATCACTGCATTTCTTTCCCGTATTTAAGTCCCGCAGCATTTTAACATCGTTACGTAAATTTACGATTTTAGAAAATTCTTGATCGAGATAAAATTACAATGGGATTATAAAAGTGTTAGAGAGAAAGCTAATGATACGGCTGATGACTATAAAAAACACTAAGTAATTTTTTCAGCTATTTTAATTTTTCTTCTATCAAACGGTTAAAGAGAAAGCCAAAAATAACTGAATTGTTCTTCGATTTTACCTTAGGCCATCTCTGTAAGATGTTTCGTTTCTTGCCCGACCGACCCAATTTAGACCTTGTTATCTGCTATCCTCTCTTGGGTGTTCCAAGTTTAAAAGGCTTTGTGTACATCTTCAAGAAGCTCTGGCAAGTACACCTTTTAGAGTGAAAGTAGCTTGTGCCAAACTGCATGGCTGTCATGGGGAAAGTTCCCTTACAGTCATATATTTTACGGTATCTTCTGATTAGCCGGCGAGCAGGGTTTGTTAAGGTACCTCTTTTCTCGGTTTTTCACTTTCACAACCAACCCAGTTTCACGAAAGAGAGCGCAACGAGATACAAAGCATTTTATGGGAATGATTTTATCTGTAATCTAGCCATTTGGTTATGGCTTGTTCTAACAAACTAATTTTGTCATATTTGGTCACATTATTAAAACAAAATATGCTGTTAAAATGTGCCCTCTGTGAACTACGTTAATTTAAAGAACAGTTTACGCTGAACAACTAGCAATTCAAAATTTCGCATGGCCGTATAAACCTAGGATGACGTATAGCAAGTCTGACGTTAAATTCGGCAAAATGAATACGCATAAACCCGTTCGTTGACAGATGAGAGACTATGGAGCATACAACATTATCAGGACGCCCCCACACCAGCGATGCAAACGTCGATCAATCAATAATTTCGCATTTTATGTGTAAATAAGAGTCATCTAGAACAGCCCTCTAACAGAATAATTTATGTCAAAATATCTCTCCATCCCAAAAACAAACAACAACAAAAATCCGCGTCACTGTTTTCACCTAATTTGGTGATTCTTATAACTTGTTTTTAGCGGAGGAAGGCTAAAAGATGCACCTAAATGTAAAACCCACGTGCAAAGTCGTTGTTCTGCTTATTGAATCTTTTGTTTGCCATACGTTTTAATTGCCTTCGTGATTTGTGAAAGCTCTCTTGGCGGTACATCGAATTTTTACTTAGTGTAATTTGTTTTTAATTAAAGGAAAATTCGCGAGAGGCTTCAGTTTCAGGTGTATACTTACCTTTCGATTCGCTGAGTCAGTTGAGAGATGCCATCGACGCCATCTTGAACAATGCGAATGAGAGATTACAAAGTTTGATGGACGGTTGCACAGTTCGCTGTCGTTTCATTATATGCAGTGGTAAACAGGAACACTAAAAAATCACAGCAACAAAATCTTTGCTTCCGTTGTACTACCACTGCATTTCTTTTTCTTATTTTTCACACGCATTTTGAAAAAAAAAAATACTGCACGTGAATTGAAGCATATGGCTTTCCGAAAAGAAGAAAGGAAAAAGAATCAGTTGGACTTCTTTATTAAAAAAATTGGCAAACAATCTAGTTTCCTACTATTGTATTATAACGCTGGGAAGCCTGTGTTGTTAAGAATATTTTTTCATGATAATTGCGGCGCGTCACGAAACCGCGAGACTTCCTAAAAGTTTTTTCCAACATTACTTTTCCGAGAAGTTGATTTAGTCGAGCTCGCACAACTTCGTCACTCAAAGGTCGCAATGGCTCACTTTCGAGAACGACGCGCGCTTGTCTGCAAGTCCTCTTTATCGCTAAATTGCTAAAAATGCGAATCCGATTAGCACTGAATATCGAAATTGAACCGGGGCGTCTAAGGTCCAACAAATTTTTAACCATTTCTTGCAATTGGATGATGGCGATCACTGTTTGTTGCCATGGCTGTCACATTGCCCAAAGCATCAAAGTTGGTTTTCATTTTAAATGCAAACACCACAACCACAATATTCTTCCTTATATGGATTTGTTAAATACGAGTGCCAGTCGTTTGTCAGTGGAGAAAATAAATACAACTAAAAAAGGCAAGCATTGTAGAACGCACCGAGATTATATAGCTTATGCAAGGCTCTTGAATAAGATTTAAGAAACTGAAACATAAAACAGATGCGAAATATATTTAATTATAGCTGATCAGTAAACACAAACCCCAAAGCTTTGATCTCAGCTACCACGAATCTAAATAAACCACATTCTATTTGCATAATTTTATTTCCAATATTGAAACGTCTGAGTTGCTTTAATTCTTTATTTCTTTCAGTCTTTTCAAGGATGTGCAGTACATTGTTCAATTGTAAAAGTTAATTTTTTTTTCTCCCCCCAAAAAAAGAGAAAAAAGAAAGAAAGAAAGAATTAATTCGCGTATTGTTTTCGCACGTTCGACCCCATACAAGTGTGCTTTCCAAATGAATAATTTACTGTTTTCAACTTTGAAAATGAGAACGATTTTTGCGGTTCTGTTGGTGAAAAATATGTCGAGCTTTGCAAATGATCGAAATGTTTGTTGCGATATTCGGATGCAAAAACTTGTGAATTTCGAAAAAACGACATGAAAAACACAAAAGTGAAATGATAACTGCTACTTGCTAATTTGCAAATGTTGGCCTTCCGTTTAGACAATGCCTTTAATTTCAAGCGTGACAGATCTTTAGCGAAATGTCGTTAGAAGCGCCATCCCCTCAAGTTTCGCTTCAAAACTCGTTAAGTTCCAACACTTTAAAAAGCTCCAACGTCGCTTACGATTTCAGAAAATCCTCAATTCGAAAATTCCTTGAAATTTATTCTACAAAATTGAGATACTACACTATACTCTAAAAATCTCTATCAAAACGTCTGCAACGACGGTGGGTTTACTTCCGAGAATTACAACCGGCCGCTGAATTCCCCATTTTCTTTCTCCAGCCCGCCTCGATGTCCTTCTTTACGCTGTCTGTGAATGTATCTTTGAACGCGTTCTGTTGAGACGCTTTCTCCAGATATTCCACGACGAATTGGAAATTTTTTAATTCCAATCCTTTCAGTTCGCCGGCCACCTTGACATGCATTAGTTTAGGCAATAAATTGCAATCTGGTAGCTTCAACTCGTCTCCGTCCAGATATTTGCCGGGACTTTCCACGGAATCTAAAAACTCGTTCAATTTTGTGAGTTCCTTGTTGAGCGCGTCTCGGAGTTTCTCGTCTTTCTCAGGGTTGTTGTTTCGCATAAACAACGCGAACTTTGAATACAGATCGCGGCCAGCGTTGTTTGCTTTCTCGTTTTTACTCTTGAGGCTTGGCTCAAAGGTTTCGTCTAAGTACATCTCGATCCTGTCCGAATCTTCCATCGGCTCTAAATCTCCGTGTAGCAGAACAGGCAGTTTTAATCGGCCCTGCGACATTCCTACAAACTCTTCCCATTTCTTCGTGTCCTTTTTATTTGGATCGACGAAGTATTCCTTGAAAGGAGGAACAACCTTCTTCAGTCGCAAAATCATGAGAATTCGCTGACTGGTGGGACAGTCTCCCAGTTCCTTGTGAACTTTACGGCTATCGTTCGAACCCTACATACACAAAACAACATTTTAGGAACAGAACGCTGCTTTCTCTAGGCAAAATAAAACTCCGCATGTTTAAAAAGCCTGAATACGAAGACTCAACAAGTTAATTACGTACCTTAACACAGATCGTAAGGGCCATTACTGTGTTAATCCAGCCCTTCAGCGGAATAAATTCGAAATGTGTAGAACCGAAGCTTTATTCGTGCTCCAAAATCAACTTGTCCCACCCCGAAAATAAACAAAACAAAACATATGCCCCAGGTCTTCGCGGAATTTTAAAACGAAGCGTCGCCGTCACTGCACCTGTCACTTTTCTTGATAGCATCAGTTTAATTTGAATTATGCGGCGAAAAAAGAAGACTGCAAATTCGTATCATTAATTCATTCACGTTTTATTATCAGCATATCAAACATAGAAATTATTGAACAAGTAATTTAGTCTACTCTAGCTACGTCTACGTGGAAAGCACCTTTGGTTTGACCGTCATTGACAAAAAGTTTTTACGTCCACGCCTGATCGATGCTTATCCAGTTTTTACATAATTTGAAAAGATTTGCTTAAATTTCCCCACCATTAGTTTTGTATATTAACATGAAAAGAATTGCATTCATCACGGGTTCAGCGCTTAATTTCTCTATAATTTCACAGAGAAACTCCGTGAAAATATGTTGATTAGTTGCATTAGACATTTTTAACAATTATTCGCCTCAGGCTCAGTGAATATTTACCTCGACTTAGCTTCGGTAAAGATCCACCAATGTTCACTTCGCCTTCGGCGAATAATAGGGAGCTTAAGCAAACCATGACGACGACGGCAACGAGAACGTCCCCAAACACTGAAAAGGTTTAATGAGCAGAACAATGGCTGTGCACGTACGTTATAAATCTTGGTACATTTAATAGCCGTCCTCTGCAAAACAACAACGTGAAATGACCAAGTTCTGCGTAGCCTGAGGAACGCTTTCGTATTTCCATTTGGAATTGAAAGCTGTCACTGCATATTTAGCCTGAGCTCGATTTTACAACTATTGGTGTGCTGAACAGATCTAGACAATTGCGAATTTCGCTGGTAAAGTATAAATTCATTCTTGACTAGGCGTCATCCTCGTCCTCGTCGTCGCTTAAACTCCCTTATAGTTAACTATTACAATAACCATTCGCGTTCAAGGAAAAGTGACAAAAGAAGTACACTTCTGACTTCATTTCGGACTACTGGGGCTTTTTGCCAGCAGAGTTTCTCTTTTTCATGATTGTCCAAGCCTTAAAGACCGACTTACGGCACTTTTCGTAAAGCAGGTGAACGGTTTCTTTATGATCGCTGACGATCGCTTCATCACATTTTCGAAGACTTAATAGATCGAGAAGAACATTCTTGGGAAGATATACGATGCATCTGATCACATTTTAATTTGGAACTTTGTCCAGTCCCCTAAAAAAATCTTTCCTCTTACCAATAGCTCTCTGACTAACACAAAACCAATCCAGTCACGTCATCGATATTATTGCTCCTCGGCACATGAGCTATAAGAACTCACCCCGAGTGAGTTTTGAAACTCGTGCAATCAATTCCAGTGATCGACATCGAGCATATGAAAACCGTCCTATTAAAACGTACTTATTTTTTGCTACACAAGGAGTTGAGCCGTGCAAGCCTAAGGAAAAATTTTCCTTTCATTTCTAAAATGTTAAGAACTAATTGTAATGCTATAATATAATATTAAGTGTGCAGTCTATCGTGAGGATTAGTTATAATGTCCATTTCACATACTGTTGTGGACCTAGTCCATCCATTCATCGTCATCGTCTTCAAACTCAGAAGCACTGTCGCTTTCGCTTTCTGAAAACGAAATAACAAAAGTCGTTTTACTTACTGTGAGAAGCGAGGAGAGATATCAGTTGAGAGTCACTTCGGTTATTTAAAAGCACTTAGCAAATTAGACTTTCGAACGTCAAGAAAATTTGCTCACTTGAAGTAAGTAAAAATATGTAACAGTAATTTGTCACTAGTGCGAAGCAAAAAACACTGAAGGTCGTCCATGGAATTCGAACCCATGATCTTTGTAATAGTAGTAATCACTCTCATTGGAGACTCAGACTTTTGACTCCTTCCCATGCTTAAAAAAACAAACTGATTACAATTACACTACACTAAGGCCGCGCTTAAAATTTAATACACTTACTCTCTTGCCTAGGAGAGTGGTTTATTACTAATTGCTATCCGCTTTTAAGAGCTTATAATATGGCGTGCATAAAAAACGAGAAGAGTGTGTTTCTTTCTACTATATATTTTTCGCTTGTTCATCTTTTGCAAATCATGAAGACTAGCAAAATCAAGGATAAGAAAACACTTCCAAACAGCACTAAACTGATGTTTTATTTCCTGTTTTTAAGGCACTACTTAGAAAGTAGAAACCAACTCTGAACTGTTTTCTTTTTTCAAATCACGCAGCATGCTCTGACGTTATAATCCACCTGACATCACACGTCACCTATGACGTTCAACGCCTTCTAGGCCAAGACACTTACCTGACGAGTGAATGGCTTTTTCTCTTTGCTCCAAAGCAAGTTGAAGAGCTCCTAAGATTCCTCCACCTCCACCCCCCACAGGGGGTTTGGAATTCTTAGCTGGGCCGTCTACTTCTGACACCTAAAACAAAGACAAATAACATACAGTCGTTTATCCTCGCACATACAGCGTCCGCGGGCTTCCGTGTTGCAGCAACTAACTCTCGAGTCTCCAAGTGAAACTGTAGTGTGCAGCGACCCAAATGAGAGCTATTCAGCACAACCTTCGTGTGGTAGCGTTTATAGGCGAATCTTTACCTCATTGGCTCAAGTGACCAAGTTTCTGATCACTCCAAGAAAATATCATTTCTGAATATTGAAAGGGCATAACATGATTAACAGTCCCAAGGAATTTGATATATTAATACAGAATACTTTTCTCGTGACGTGGGTTTAAAAACTCACAATTTTACGAAGTATGCAGGAGCTTATAAGCGTTTTTTGTACTTTATTCAGTTTTATTGATTTGAAAAGTTCTACAGTCAAACCTCTCCACAAAGGCCACCTTGGGGACAGAAGAAAGTGGCCGTTGTACAGAGGAGGCCGTGAGTGGAGGTTTGACTGTACACAATGTTTTACAGACACAAAAAAATTCATAGAATGACGCGCTGCATCACACATACCTACACTTACATAATTATGCACAACTGCATATGCAGTACCTGTTACCTCTCTTCTACAACTATGGTACTGATGAGCGGTGCCATTCGTTTCTAACGCCCAGAGTTATCAATTGCACTCACCCTCTTCAGCTGCTTGCCCGTCCTAATTTCACTCAACAGATCTCCTCGACCATCAGAGCTGCTTTGTCTTCCTTCATTGGGTGTCACCTTCTTCAGGGCAGCTCCTCCTTTAATCTGATCCAGAAGTGCTCCACGACCACCTCCACCAACCATGGGAGCAGGAGGGGCAGGAGCGGGGCCGCCTCTAAGCATCGGTGGCGGTGGTGGGGGCACTCCACCAGCTGGTGGAGGAGGAGGTGGGGCAGGGGGTGGAGGAACTCCAGATGGAGGACGAGGGGGTGCTCTTCCCATTGGAGGTGGAGGAGGCAAGGCTCCTCGTGAAGGAGGTGGAGGGGGTGGAGGTCCACCACGGGATGGAGGTGGGGGTGGTGGAGCACCTCCTACCCTTGCTGGGGGTGGTGGTGGGGCACCACGTGAGGGGGGAGGTGGCGGTGGGGGTCCTCTTGATTGACCTCTGGATGGAGTTGGTGGTGCTAAAAAGAAAAGTTTAATGATGTATCAAGTTAAAATTATGATTATTGAGTACCTTAATTGGTTCTCAGGTACAAATCTATGCTCTTGAACACAGGAAGGTAAACAACTAATAGTTTGCTTCAAGATCAAAGATGCCATGCAGATAATAATCGCTTATGAAAACTACCTTAATGATTCTTACCTGGAGCTACAGGGCCACCTTGTTTTTCCAACTCTATTTCCCGGGTAACATTTTCAATTCCGCCTCTCTTTTCCACAAAGTCATAAATGAATTCCATTGTTTCCTTCTTCTGCATCTGGTCCTCTGTCACACCAACCAAGTCAAGCAACTTCTTCCAGTTGCCATCCATCTCCACATTATTAACCTTCAAAACAAAAATTATTTATTACAATTATTATTAATTAAACAGGCACATGGAATAAGTCCAGTGACACATCAGGCATTTTGCAAGGTGGGCAGCTCTTTGATGCAGACATCAAGCAAAACATCTCAAGTCAACAACTCAACATATCTCAAATGTGCACCTCTTGTAAACTCATTTATTTCTAGAATTAACATTTTTTAAACTTCTCTTAGAGGAGATCCTTCCTAATTGAAACATTGTTCAAAGCTGGAGCTATCTAAAGATTACTCCTCTTTTACCTGGACAGCTGTTCACTGTATGCCTCTCCAAAGCAAACATATGCACCAGGTCCAGTAGTACACAACCAGTAATTTACACTTAAAAAGACACTGTCACTATTTTAGCATGATTTTGGAAATCTCAAAAAACATATATCGATCACTGGAAGCTCAACAATAATGGTTTTATTTTGTAGAGCAGTACTCGACTAATGATTAAAATCCATTAGGAAGTGAGGATGACTAACAATGGCGAGGATGGAAACAGATTACGATATGGATTTTTGAAAAAGCATCAGAATATCAGTTTTTCACAGGTTCGAGTTTGGCTTGAAAATCATTGAAATTTTGCAAAAATGTTGCTGCAGTGTGGACTTTCTTCAAGAAATTGTCTTTAATCATTTAGTTAGAGCTAATTAAGTTCTTACTACATTAATTTAGGGGCCATTTCGTGAAATTACAACAGTTCTAAGCCAATATATCATGACAGCGTCCCTTTAATATCTTACCACAAAGCCATATTAACCAACTAAATATTACCGGTACTTAATATTTTATAATAAATAGGGTCCCCAGTTTGCTTACATCAAATCCACCTTGTGGATCCCAGCCAATATGTCCAACATGCCTGAAAATAAGTTAATGGTAGTAATGGTGGTTATGTCTTAGGTACATTATTGACCATAAATTTAAAAATTCGCATCGAAAAGCCAGTAACACTTTTAATTCAGTATTACATGTAATTAATCTGTATACCCAATGCAACATTGCAAACAATCCATGGAAACAATTTTAACAGGGACTGAAAATTGCAACTCGGGCAACCAAAATTTTGGTTTTAGTCCCGAGTTGTCGCGAGTTGGTGACTAATTTTGAGCTGTTTAACAAGGATTAGTCTCAAGATTGCATTCATCCAGCATGTGAGGTCCAGAAAAAAATGGTTTCAAAAATGAATCAATGGTCTCTTTTAGCCAGTGACTGAACTGTAAAAATGGTTAAAGTCTATCTGCTTTGTTGCTGACAAAAATAAATACACATAATCAACAGCTTGCTTGCCAAGAAATGGTTATGAGACTTAACACGTAATACAATACATGGATGACCAATGTGACATCTACGTAAGAAAAATGATCCCTGTGTTAAAGTTGTTATCTTAACAGTTAATCAAAAGTTTTCTTTTGTTTACAATTTGCATTGGATATTCCTTATTGTCCAGGAGCATTGCCACAAGTGGCAATTGCTTTTTGACTGTTGCTGATTCTTGCCAAGCTTAATATTTACAAATTCCTAATCTGCCCATCCTTCCTTCTGCCAGCCTGTCACCATCTCTTGACCCCTCTCCCTGCTCATCTCCCACTCCCCCCCCCCCCCCCCCACCCCCTCAGCCACCCGTCTCTCTTCTCCTGCTCTTATGGGCCAAAAGGTACATTTTAGAACTGCAAACTGTACCTCCCAGTCAGCAGCCAGTCAGTGGAATTACACAAAGAGTTTTACAACCAATCTACTGACAGATCGGGCAAGCAAGTAACTTTTCTCTCAACACTCTTTTAGAAGACTTCTCCATTCTTGCACTCAGCCATAAAAAGGAACAGACAGCCCTTTCTTGCTTGCTGGCATGCAGCTATTGGCTCACTTGGGTTCCCTCTTAGAGAGCAGTGTTGCCCCTTGTGTTCAAAAGGGAAGGGGCTGAGCTATACATGCTGCACTATTTTATGTACAATACACTTCATCATACTTTAAAAAAAAATCAAAGTATATCTCTGTATGATCCAACATTAGAGTAATGAAGGAACAAGACATCCACTACAGGGGTGAATCCAGGATTTTTCTTAGGATGGGGTGCATCACTAAGGAATGGCATAACTGACTGGTGAGGTAAACAAATTTTAAAAGTGAATATGAAAAAGAAGGCTTCATCTCAGGGGGGTGCATACCCCCTGCACCCTCCTCTAGAACCGCCCCTGCACTGTACAAACAAAAAGCATGTTGTTTTACAAATAACAGTGGAGTCAAAACAACTTACATGTACACTCAAGGTTTAGTCAGAGTAAATCATTAAGAAAGCAGAAAAACTTACTGAAAGTTCTCTGGTTTGCCAATGTCCTCTTTGGTAATTCTTCTCTTTCCACCTTTTTTGTTGTTGGATCCTGTACTACTCTTGCTTTCCTTTCTTTCTTTGCTTTTCCTTCTGTTCAAGGAACTGCTAGAGCCATCCACAGATGAAAGGCTGGTCTGTGATGGGGAATGACTCACATTGACAGTGTTATCTATGAAAAACCATATGACCATTTGTTATATATACAGCTTGAGTTGCGTTAAATCTAACATGCACTCCCATCGGTTGATTTACAGTTACGCGGCAATGGTCAAATCTAAATATTACCCAGCAGGCAGCGATGAAGCAATTGCCACCAGCTCTCCCACTAACCCGAGGTTACTTTGGTGTAAAGTTCCTTGACTTATAACTTAACAGCAAACTCTGGGGTCATGTGGCAGCTCTCGTAAGGTCTCACATGAACGGCTTGATGCCTTCAAGGGAACAATTGAACAAACAACAGAACAATGCCTCTAGCCCCAGAACAATAATGGCTGCTAGTATAATAAAACAATAGCACCTTTGAGAGCTGCAACACCTCTGAAACTCTACCTACAGTGTATATAACAAAACACTTAATCACTGGTCCCTTAGGAAACAGTTTGTTTTGTTTTCCCTCAAATCTCAAAGTTTCTCAACACCACACTTATCCAAAGCACTCCTCTTAATGAGTTTTATAGGTCCACTTACATTGTACTTACAATCCGACAAAGCCACTTGTCGAATCCAAATAGGAAAAAAAAATACTGACATCAACATTTGAATCTGAGTTTTGATTGTTGCAGCTATTGTTAAAATAGCAACTCATCAAAAACGTTTTTACGTGAGTTTTTAATAAGTCCCAGCTCTGACCAAGTTCCTGACCAGAAAGTTGAAAGTGACGCAAGGTAAAGTTCTCCATTTTAAAAATACTTTGTCAATATTTATTAACTGTTTTACAAACCAATTTACTTAATGTACATTCTCACTGGCTTTAAGCCAGAATTTGAAAAGTGGCCATCCCAAATGTGGTGTAGGGCCTGCTCAAATGAGCAATTTATGAGGCAACATATGAAATATAAAACAATTTTGTTTAGAAAGTGGCTGACCACAGGACGTCTGGACACCCATCTGGCTAAAAGCATGCATTCTCACCATGGGACTGCAAAGAGTTCCTCTTTCCAATCTCCACATGGCCACCCACAGCTGGTGGCGGGGGAGGTTGCTTGTTGTGTCGTGAAGAATTCTCTTTTCTCCTTTCTGTAAATTAGACCAAGATATAGGAATTAGTTCATTATAACTAGAGCTTAACTTCAGTTTCTGTATATCACAAATTGCCACCAAAAGTATTGAGGACTCCAATAGGGGCTATGCACAGGGCAAATTGACCTGCTGTGGGGACGATTTTGCGTACCTGGTAACAGAGGAAAGTTTTCTTATGAAGAAGTTGCCTTCCTGCTGAAAACATTAATGAAAGCCCTGAATATTATTATTCTATTCCCAGCAGGGTTTTCCCAAACATTTGAAGTACACAGAGGTGTACATGTAGTATGCAACACTGAGAATTCAAACCCTCCCAGCCAACCAACATTTCCCCAATATGGACCTCACAGTAGTTCAATAACATACATACAGGCCGTGGAACCACATTAATATGGTCACCAACAGGCCACAAAAATCTGGCCATATTAATGTGGTGCCTGTATTAAAGGGGTTCTCAAAATATTAACATGTCTGACCGAGCTTCTGTTCTGGCCAGAATAAAATGGCCTTAATAATGAGGTGGCCATATTAATTAACAGGGTGGCTAAGAGGTGAAGTTCCATGTACATGTAAACTGTGGTTCACAGTACATGTTTACATATTACAGGTACATCTATGGCTATTCCATTTGAATCTCTTTACCTTGACGTCTCACTAGCTTTTCCTGCAGCTTCTTTTCAATCTCATTGATAAAGTTCCGGGCTTCGTTGACATTTGCAAAGTTAAGACCAGCATTGTAAGCCTGCAAAAAAATGAGAGGTAACAAGTTACATCGTAATTCATGTACTGTAATAATAATTATTATTATTGTCCAGTTGATAGAAGTCCACAAATGGACCCAAGTATTGTTGGACTGACACCATTTACAACAACCTGAGCTAGACTCATCTTGAGAGTCAAGTGGAAAGTTGTTTATCAGCCTGGTCTGTTAAAACTGATAGATCACCTTGCCATGATGTTATCAGCTGTAGGCTAGTGTGCCTATATCTATCTACGCCATAAGGCACATAAGGCTAGTGTAACATTTGGTTAACAGTGATTGGTCAGTTCTACATATTTTAGCTTAAGGTCTATAGCCATCCATTGCTAATGTATGTGTTAGTACTCAACATGAATTCTCAGACACACTGGTTCAAATGGGGACAGAATCGTGAAAAATAATAATTCCTGCTACTTAGGACAAAGGAAGCTATCAGACGATAATTTAATTTGTACCTAAAAATCGAAGCATTGCAAAGACCTGAATATTGCTGGTAAGGCCTGGTGAATTTGACGACTGAAATTTGATGCATGTTGGAAACATGCAAGATTCTATAATTAGAAAGTGATTTTAACCTACATGTAATTCTTCATATAAGCTTATTAAAACAACAAAATGATTGAGCCGAACTACAGTGTATCCGAACAATCCGAGCTAACAAAGTCGAATTTCTGATTCAGTTGATAGGTAGTTCTTTATTGAAGCGACAGATTAATAGCATCGTTTTCAGAGAACAATCTTTGAGGTGATTACTGAACTTAACTTATAACAATTTAATATTTTACGCGTTACTTAGCTTGTACTCACATCAGCTGCAAAAGTGTGAAAATGAGGTCTAGGAGCAGTATACTTGAACTGATTGTACAGTTCTTGTTCCCATTCCAATGCTTTCGTCTAAAACGTAATGTAGACAATAATAACATAAATCAAAGTCTCCTTCCTTGAAGATTATGAAATAAAACGCTATTTATGGGCTTACCACCAGACTGTACATTCGAAGGAAGTAAGATCGTTTCCCGTTATCTTTCACAAAACAAATCACTCCTGTGACCATCTTTTTCCATCTGTTTCGAGATTCAGGCGGTGCAATGTACAGCTGGGCTACCGAGGTCGCCAGAGTCTGTCGAAAAAGAGATCAAACTTCACCGCAAAGTTACAAACATTCGTTCCACAAGGAC